TAATACTATTTTATTTACTCTTATAATTCAGGAGGTAGGCATTGTTATCTCCAGGTGTATATGAAGAAACTGAGGTTCAGAGAGGCTAAGTTACTTGCCCAGGATCACATATGGTAGGGAGAGCCAAGATTTATGCTCAGGACTGACTCCAGTGCCGTTATGTAAATCTTTACAGTCTACTGGAGCACACACCATATATTAAAATGCTGAACCTTGTTTGAGGAGATTCCTGTCCAAGGAATACAGGTTTGCCTTTCACACTTAATGGATGGCATTACAAACCACATTTAAACGAGTGTGATGTTTCTATGTAGATGCTAACAATGTTTCGCAGTTTATAACTGCATTACTTTTAAAGGGAAAATGAGGAATAGTCACTGCTCTGTTGACTATTAAGATCTTTATTTCTTTGACAAGAAGTTTTAAAGTAGTGTAATTAGATAAAATTATAAAGCTAATAATGCCCATGGAACTCTGACTAGGAGGAAACATTTGTTCAATGGCAAACCCCCATCAATTCAAAGTATTTCCGAATCCGTTGTTGGCTGACATCATAAACAGAAGGTAAGGCCAGAATAAAATAAGTAGCATTTCTGATAACCAAAAGAGAATGTCTATCTATTGAATATATCACAAAGTCCCTCCTGTTTACATAACAAGTTTCCTCATCTTTGGGATGGAAATTAAAATTGTCATGTGATGGTTTGTTTTCACTTCTTTAGGTCTCTCTACATCAATCTTGTGGCACTCTGGGCAATCCTCACCTGCTCAGTGCTTTGTGGGCTCGCACTGTATTCCAGATACCATGACTGTGATCCTTGGACAGCCAAGAAAGTGTCTGCACCAGACCAGGTCCAGTACCATGTCTTTCTTATATGTGCAGTAGTGACATGCAGAAAGCTTATTAGCTGGGAGGAAATAGTATTCATATTCTTGTAAAGAAATAGCAAATGTGCACAATATAATCGTCTTTAGTTTCTATAAGGCATTTGGAAAAAATTTATTTTAGCAGATATGGAAATAGCAAGAATGAAGAATGTTATATCCAACATTAAAATATTGAAATGCTTGGGAAATTTTCAAGGCAGGTATTAAAGAGAAATAGCTCAAGGCTGGGAGTAGAAATATAAACACAGTTTAAAAAAAAATCCATACACACCATGGTACAGCAGAACGTTTTGTGGTTATCCTTAGATTGTTCATTTATAAACAATTCACCTTCTGATTTTTAAATAATAGAGAAATGAATCTAATAAGTGAACATTTATTGAGCACCAACTATGTGATGAAATTCTGTGCCAAGAACTTTGTATGCTTCATTTCTTTTAGTTATCACAACCCTGTAATTCTAATTTTAAAGATGAGGAAATGAATGAATGTCAGAGAGGTTATATGACTTGCCCAAGGTCACATAGCTAATAAGCAAGAATAGCTGCAAGCACTCATCTGATACTTACCATGGGCCAGGCACTGTCATAAGTGCTTTACATGTATAAATTTCAACTCTTAATCCTCACAGCAACACTCTGAAGTAGGTGATATGATTGTCTCCCTTTCAAAGGTGAGGAAACTGAGGCACAGAGAAGTTAAGTAACCAGCTGGTAAACCTGGAGCCAGGATTCGAACCCAAGCAGGCTGCCACTAGAGTCCTAATTTTGAATCTCTATGCCATATTTCATCTTTCATAAAGTGTAGCTAGAATTCAAACCCAAGGCTGCCAGGCTCCAATGCTTGAGTTCTTGTTCTTAGAACTCTTGCAAAATTATTTTCTAACAATCGATTGTAAATCAGGTGCCCAGGGCATGCATTAGAATGATCATAGGTTGAATTTTCTGTTGGTGTAAATGCATAACATACTCCCAGGAAAATACAACTTTGTGGGATTAGAAAGTGAGAGCATCCTTCATGTGCATATCTCAGTCCTGTCTTAACCTGTGCCCTCCTGTTGATAAACACATCTTCCTGTTTGCTCAGAGAATCTTAAGAATTGTGTTTACTCTGCTGACGGAGGCACTCTTCTGTTATATTCTCTCTAGTCAAGACTGTTTTGTGATTTTTGTCAATCTTTGTCTTCGAAGACCGTAGGGATTTAAACATTTTTTTTCCCTAATGTATCTTCCCCTTACTCTGAGCAAAAAAACCAACAAAACGAAACAAAACAAAGCAATTTTTTTTTAAGGTGCAACCTCCTAACCTTGAGACTTCTCCTTGTCATAGATTGTATGCAGGGGTGTCTTGCATGCATGCATTCACCATTTAGAGAGCATGTGACAAATTTTTGAAAAAGAAAGATGCTTTCTCCTAATTGAATGATTTCACTACTGATTGTTAGTCAGTTAATTCAATTAATATTTCCCCGGGGATACAATGCCAATAAGGCACAATCAGTAGATCGGGTAAGAAGCTTTACCCGAGAGAACAAAGGTAAGTTTCTGCTGCGCCCTGCGACAGCTCACGCTGAGGAAGCAGGTTTGGTACCTAGGTGTAGTTGTACTGCTTTTCTAACAGTCTTACCCAGTTGATTCTACCTATATCTGCGGGGACCATTCAGATTCTGAAATATCACACCAAAGATTTTTGGAAAGTTGACAAGAGAGTAGAGGATTTTAGATCTCATTATAACACTAACGATGGAATTTTTACTTTTGCTTATGTATAGAATACTGCTTGAAGTTAAACTTTTAAGATTTCCTGGGGAAATTGCATGTTGATCTCATAGAGAGAGAAATGCTATTCTGTTTTCCTAAGAATAAAGAATTAATAAGCTTTAGTTAAATGAGATCAAAGAGGCTGATAAGAAAGGGCATATCATCCACTCTGAACTATTGAGAGAAGGAATCAATGATGTTTCAGTGCAAGAGAGGACATATTCCTATAAAATTATCCACTCAGGACTCTGGTTCAAAAATCAGTTTCTCCAGAAGACTGCCATATAACACAGTGCTGAAGTCATACACCTTCCCATCCTTATTTGATATTTATTTTCTTAAAAGTAACTTATCGAAAAGCAAGTATCAGGAGTTGTATTTTTTAAAGAAGCCAGTTTCAGGAATTTCGTGAGGTTAGTCTCCGCTCGTCACTATGTTTCATACAACAATTGACCCTTGAACAACACAGGGGTTAGGGGCCCTGACCCCCTGCACAGCAGAGAATCTCCTTGTAATTTTTGACTCCCTCAAACTTAACTGCTAATAGCCTACTGTTGACAGAAAGCCTTACCGATGACATAAATAGCCGATTGACACATATTTTGTATGTTATGTGGATTATATACTGTATTCTTACCATAAAGAAAGCTAGAGAAAAGAAAATGCTGCTAAGGAAGTCATGAAGACAAGAAGATACATTTAAAGTACTGTAATGTATTTATCCATACTATAAGTTTACCTTGTCTGTTTGCAAGATGAATCTTCTGTCAGGACCTATATCAATGAGTCTTATATGATACGAAACACTGCAGATGTTATACTCTTATCAACACTAGACATCAAAAAAGAAAAAATAATGTGAAAAAGAATTCATATTTATTTACAAGTGTAACAATTCATGCATTGGTAAAGAAGCAGCAATATGATTACTTCATAGTAGCCTAGTGTAATCCATACAATTGCTTTATGGTAGCCTAGCCTATACACTAATGAATGAATCGTTATAAAAGTTTTATGATATACAGTATTACAGTAATATTCTTAATACCACTTTGGAAACATTGTTACTTTTTAAAACTACTTATCTTTGATAATAGATTGATACATAGTTTTCCCAATTATGAATTATGGTGGCACACTGTACTGTAAAGCAACTCTTTGAAAGCAGTTATAAAACAGTAAAAAAAACTACAATATTTTAATATTAAATATCACTCACCTTATGCCTTTGTAAGAATAGGCTATCCACTTCAATACAAGTCTTGCATACATGTTCTACACATACATTTTTATATATTTATTGTAAAAAAAATCTATATATAAGTGGAGCCACACAGTTCAAACTCATGTTGTTCAAGAGCTAACTGTATTTGCAACTATAATTACACTTTCAATCCTGAACAGTGATTGAAGTTCACAAAAACAGCTTTGAGTCATCAAGTAAAGTTAAATTAAGTGAATGCTTTTCACTTAAGCACAGAGGTATGCCAATATTTCCTTTAAATTGATTTACTGTTCCAAAGAATGAAAATAGCTACCTATTACCGGACACTAACTATATTCCATGTACTATAGTATGAGCTTATATAGGTTATCTAATTTAACTTTTTTTTCTTTTTGTTAGTGGAGGTACTGGGGATTAACCCAGATGTCAAAATGAAGAATAAAGTATGTTAGCCAGATTTCTTTAAGTCAGATATTATATTTGGGACATTTGGAAACAGAGGTTAAAGACCTTTCCATTCTAGATGATATTTAACCCTTAATAAGATCCTACAATCTATGAATTTGAGTATTCATGCTGAATGAAGAAGTTGAACATTTCTTGTACAATTTTAGCAGGTAAAGAGTTTAATTTTATGTATTTTGGAAATTTCAGTTATGTGGAATAGGTTCCTTTAGTTCTTGAAGAACACAAGATAAATGAGGTGTTAATTAATTTATTTCATAACAAATAGTACTCAAGAGTAAATGTTGGAATTTTTCAGCTCATGCCTTATTTGGTACTGGACATTCTGCAAGATTACCCAGGAGTTCCTGGACTCTTTGTGGCCTGTGCTTACAGCGGAACATTGAGGTATGAACTATGACTCTAATAATACATGGTTTCCCTATTGGGATCGTTCTTTTGTTATTTGATATTTGGGAGGAAAAGCTGAATTCTGGACGTGAACACAAACGGCCCCAAAATAGGTAATTTACTCCATGTATCCTCTCTATCGGTCTGTTGTCTCTAGGGGCTGGCAGTCTATTATCATCAGTCTCCACTTTTAACTTTGGCCCCTTCTATCTAATACATCATCACATACCTTGTAGGGTCATAATGACAATGATCAGTTGTTGGTAGCTTTCGCTGATTACCAAAAATGGAGACCTACAGTCTTGGTTTAAAATATACATGTAGCTATGGCATGATCAAATGGAGAATTAGAATTAGAATTTCCTTTTACAGGCTGAATAATATATACTGTCCAAAGAATCTTGTTTTGTATTTGAACTTCTTCATTGTACTTTCTTCCTATGTTTGCTCCAGGGAACCCTTATTATTAATGTGTACGACATGTGTTAGTGTGGATCCACAAAATTAATTTTATTGATATTTATGGTGTATGTTAGTGAGGACTTATGACAATTCTTTCTATGCACAAAGAAAAATATGTTTTAAAATCATTTTGTAGTAATACCACATGATCTTTGTAGATTCTTTCCATAGACACTAAGGATTCATTTCAAAATGGAGCCAACAATTTAATTTGTTCTGAATCATTCTTGGATGACAACAACTTCCAGAAAGAGGATGATGTAATTATTTAAAAAATAATATAGTAGAAATCTGGTTACATTTCAGAAGTGACAATATATATTTTTCCCTTTTCTTATTCCCAGTTAGATTATTATTACAGTTTAAATATTATAAATAAAAAATTTGATTTTCCCTTACAGCACAGTGTCCTCCAGTATTAATGCTTTAGCAGCAGTAACTGTGGAAGATCTAGTCAAACCTCACTTCACATCTCTCTCAGAAAGGTCTCTCTCTTGGATTTCCCAAGGACTGAGTAAGTTTTCATTTCACAATTCCATTTTAGCTCTGGGAGATGATTTTTAGAGATATCAGAAATTCTTTCCTATAAATGTTATACAGTAAGAACTTCTGAGCGTGAGTGTGTGTGTATACATATATATATATATGCCTGCCTGCGACTTACCACAGTCATGGCCATATTTGCAATCAAGATTTGGGACATACTTCAAACAATTAGTTGTCAGGCAACCACAAAGAACAATTTCCAGAGGCCCTATTTGGCTGTCCTTCTTTCTTTACCTTCCTCCTATCCCAAATCTAAGTTAAAATTCCTGGCCACAGTTAAAATTCAACTCTTTTTCTCTTTTCCTCCTAAAATTTAAACCACAGTTTAAAAAATATCCTTAGTTTGAAACCAAGAGCTATACTTTTTCTGTATAACCTAAGAGGGCACTGCCAGTTTAAATTTATAGACATAGTCCTTGTGTATAAATTGAAGATAAAGGAAAAGAGCATTATGGTTTTATCTCTTCTATCCGCACATGTAGACAATCGGGAGATAGTCAATAAAATTGTACAAGAAATGCTCAACTTCTTCGTTCAGCATGAATACTCAAATTCATAGATTGTAGGATCTTATTAAGGGTTAAATATCATCTTGAATGGAAAGCTCTTTAACCTCTGTTTCCAGTGTCCAAATATAATATCTGACTTAAA